AAAACAAACTCAAAATCAACATGCACCCATCTGATGCATCAAATTCACCAAAAACCCCATTTTTCCCAAAACCCCGAAAAATGAGCAAATTCTCCGATCCAGCCATGGATCCTCAACTTTCATGCATCAATTGAGTTTCTAAACTCACATGCAACTTAAACAACAAACATTATAGCTTCCCTCACGTGAAGATTGACTCAAAATAGCCAATAACTGAGAACAAGTAGAATTTCCTTCCGAAACCCATCCCGGAACTTCAATCCTCCCAAAGCAAGCTTCCTAATCCAGAGTCCTTCTCTCTAAAAAAACTTCACTTTCTCCTCAACCACCAACCCCTATTTATAGAAGTTCCGGAGTGGCCAGAACGGCCTGTTCCGAATCCAGAACGACCTATTTTGCACTCTTTCACCACGTGCAAAAATCACATGCAAAATGACCCGTTCTGAAATCAGAACGGCCCGTTCTGGGACTCATCCAGAACGGCCCGTACTCCCTCCAGAACGGCCTGTTTTGGGGTTTGGAACGACCCATTTTGGGGTTTGGAACGACTCGTTCTCCCTCCAGAACGGCCTGTTCTCAACTACGATTTTCAGGTCAATTTAGTAGATTGAGAACGGTCCATTCCAGATTGGGAACGGCCCGTTCTGGGCTACTAAATCACCCATATTGGGCTTTTGGGCCTTCCAAAATAACCTACTGCGTTACGATTCTGGAGACCCCTGAAATCTATAAATAGAGCACTTTGGCACTGTTTCTGGACACACTCTCTAGAGACCAAGGAGAACCAAGAGAAGGAGATCAACCAGATTCTGCTGCTTCAACGTGGTTAGTTCATTTTGGTTATATTGTTTTTAAAAAATTCCTTTTTATATTAATCAAACTAAACGAATTGGATGTCTAAATATATAGTATGTGATAAAATAGTTTCTCCTTTGAATAAATGCTGCATAATTCTTAGTGATAGGGTAGAAATGTTTTCTACTAGTAAAACAAATTTAAATAAGCAAAAACTAAAGTTATATTAAAAGATCATAATACTGACACAGTAACAGTAACTTACACCACTCAGACTTTTTACTTCTCTCTGTGTTTTTATATATTGGTTGCATCTTACTGTTTTTGTTTATCTGTCTATATTAAATATTTTGTGCTAAGTTATGTGAATATTTCCATAGCTCAAATTATTCACTTCATGTGTAGGGCAGGGGCATTATTGACTTGACTGAAACTTTGGAAGAACTTTATTCATTGTTGCTGATTATTGGTCATGTAATTGCAGATGAAGGGGAGGGGGAAATACCACTGGTATGTGAATTGTATTCTCTCCATATTTTTTATATTTCATTTAGAACTGTTTGTTGTTGCTGCATATATATATATATATTGTGAGATAATAAAGAGAAAAAAATTATTTAAAGGGGGGTGGGGAGCAGGATTTACCATAAACGATAAGCCAGTCTGATCCAGAGAAAAATAAATGTGTATCTCCCTTATATTTCCAATTCGATTTTTAACCCTTATTAATTTGGGAATTGACAGTAATGAACAAGATTGATTTAAGGTTATTTCATGTGTGATATATAGGTTCCTAATACAATACAAACCCAGTTTGTTGTTAATGCTGTTGAAGCAGATAAACATCCTGTTATTTTACTTTCCAGGTAGATTATTTTCTTCTGCTTTTCTGATTGGGAATTTGATGTTTGAGTTCTTGCAAAGAATCTTAGTAAAACCATGTTTCTTATGGATTAATGCAGCTCAATCATAAAATTTGCTGAGCAGTGCCTCAGTCCAGAAATGAGAGCATCAGTTTTTAGTGCCCGACTTATGGAGGTATGCAATTTATTTATTTTCCATCTTGCATAATGATAACCTAGCTCTTCTACATCCTAGAATATTCACTTTAAATTTTTGTTATAAACATCAACTGTGGATATGTTGCTTTTGTTGTTTTCTGGCTTTATCTCAGTAGTAGAATGTGTCCTTGGGAGATGGATATTCTAAAAGTTTTTTATATTTACAGAACATTATTATACAAATGATCTACTGCACTATTTTTTAGAGTTCTTTTTATTAAACAACTTGCAAGTTTTTTTAATAGAGTTAATCACCTATACACTGCTAGTGTAAAATTTTTTTACACTGGCAACCAATTATATCTCTTAATTATGTCATGTCACTGTTAAAAGTAAATGTGTTTATAATGACATGACACAATTAAGAGATATAATTGGTTGTCAGTGTAAAAAAACTTTACACTGGCAGTGTATAGGTGATTAACTCTTTTTAAAAATTGAACGAAATGGTTTTACTCTTAGTCATATTGGTTGAGTTTTAAGTTTTGGTCTTGTTTGGAGATCAAGTTTGTTGAATTCAGTCAATCTGATTTTGATTCTGATACTGCATTTTGGAACTTCTGTAATTCTTTTCTGACAAGGTACTGTTTTACTCCTCAATGCCTTCTAAATGTATGTTCCATGCAGTCAATTATATGGTTCCTTGCAAGGTGGTCTCGTACATATCTAATGTCTTCTGATGGTATCGGGGAGAAAATCATAGATTCAGGTCATCATCATGAGCATAGTTCGAAAAAGGCTTTGCTTTGTTTCTTTGGAGAACATAACCAAGGAAAACTTGTTCTTGATATTATTGTTCGAATATCCTTGATCACACTTGCATCATATCCAGGGGAAAAGGATCTGCAGGTTTGAGTTTAAAACTTCTATCATTTTAACAACTTTGGACATTCTTTTTTAATCTGTATTACTAATGTGATGTATACTGATGTATTATTAAGATATTATTTGGATATTTTCTTGTATCCAAATCTTCCCAAAACTTTTCTTTCAAAAGTGCCAAGTTTATGAACTAACTACACTGCTGAGTTTTATTAGATAACAAAATTATAATTAAATATGTAATTCTAAATCAAAATTATTATCCATAAGGAACCTAAATTGGAACAACTGAAACTTAATGGGTAAGCCTAAATTCATCTTTTAAGATTCAGTCAGAAAATGTTGGATTGGCATTGGCACTGTAGACAATTATGTTTGATTAATTTAATATGCATCTTTTATTTTCCATTTTTTCCTTCTGAAATTTAATATTTCAATTTATAAGCTCTGCTGCAAGTTTATCTGTAATAGGTACTGGAATAAATAGCAAACTAACTTGCTTTGTGGTTGTTCTTAATGCAATATATTTTTACCCAGGGACTCACTTGTTACCAGTTACTTCATTCTCTGGTTCAGCAAAAGCATATATGTGTTCACCTTGTTACTCTGGTAAGTCAATACTTTTTTATGTGCCTTTAGATTGACAAAAAAAGTCTTGTCTTGATGCAAACATAACCCAAGAGTCTCTGTATTTTAATTTTATTTTATGTTTCATTAATGGGTGATTCAAGTTTGGTAAGTAGTTTCTTATAATAATAGTATGATCCAAATTCTGGAGTTCATAAACAAGCAAACTTTGTTCCCATTGTTTGCCAAGATAGACTTCCAATTGTTTAAGTTAGGAATGGAAGTTATTAAATTCTTTTGGGAAGTAAAGAAATTTTTATGGGTCCCTCATGGAAATTACTTCCATTCCTTCCAGGCATGAAATTAGTTCTATCTTTAGGCATGAAGTCATTTTTTTTAAAATGATTTTTTTATGACCTAATTTTACAAAAATAATATAATTTTATATAATGAAAAAATGGAGTAAAAATTATTATTTTCAGTTAATATAAGAATATTTTTTATGTAATTCATTTATTTTTTTTCCACTCTCTTTTCTACTCATCCAAACGACTGAGAAGAAAATTTTCCTCTTTTTCTTATTTCTTTCCATCCAAATAATACATCTTTTCCCTCCTATTTCTCTTTTATTTCTGTTCTTATTTTCTTCTTTCCTACTTCTTCCCTATCTCATGTTGGAAGGTCCCACATTGCCTGTCTCAATTCTTGGGATGCAACTTTTATATATGTTGGACAACTTCACTTAATGACAATTGGTTTTAAGATGGAATTTAACATGGTATCAAAATCTATAGCCCATCTTGGCAAATCGCCTATTCTAGTAGGCTCACTTATTTTGACATGCATTGTGGAAGGGGGGGTGTTGGAAGTTTCCACATTGCCTACCTTAATTCTTGGAGTACAACTTATATATCTGTTGGACAACTTTACTAAATACCAATTGACTTTAAGATAGAATCTAACATTTCAATCCTAATCCAAACAAAGCATTAAAGTTTTCATGATTGTATAATGATGACAAAATGATCATTCATTTGGCTCAGATTGTAAAAAAACATCTTCCTTCTTTTGTGTTCATTATCAGCATCTTCCAATCCATTTTTTTCTCACATATTTCATTGATACAATTTTATTTACCCTGGTAGCTCAAGTAGGTTTATTCACATGCTCCAAATAGCACAACTTGCCTTATAGTTGGTTACTTAGCAGAAAATCTATGTCATTGGGGTATTGATATTGGTTCTAGCGGGGTATTATGCTCTCCCTCTCTTGAACACCACATGGATTCTTCCTGGGTTGATATGGATTTCCAAACACATGAGGTCCATGATGTGGTTGTGAATGTTCTTGAGCTGATTGTGCATCTTTCGAGGTTTTTCAGCACATGGATCCAATAATGCATTATAGTACTAGTTCTGATGTGATCTTCAGTAATCATGGCAACTTTATGGTCAAGCCAGTGCAAAGGTTTTTCTCGGTGTGTGCTTGGTGCTCATGCTTATAGACGCGCACTGTGTTCTCTGTATACTGATTGTAGCTGGTTGTTCCAATGGTTTAGATGTCCGACTTCTTCCTAAAAACTGGGAAGTACTGCGGTAACGACTTCGGGTAGTGTATGTGTAGTATTTCTCAAAATAATATTCAACTGTAATGTTTTATTTGTTTATGGCTTTAGATTCTTTCCTAATGATATATACATGTTTTTAATTGGCTTTATACAAGATTACAAATGTTGGGACATACAAGGGTTCAAATTCCAATTTATCATAAAAGTAATGGTTATGTTCCTTTTGAGAAGTTGCAAATCACTTGCCTCAATTCTCCAGGTGTGGTTTATATATTTGTTGGGCAACTTCACTTAATGCCAATTAGTTTTAAGATGAAATCTAATATGGTATCAAAGCCTGGAGCTCATCTTCTTGGTTTGCCTGGTAGACATTTGTGGAGGGGGAGTGTTGGGAAGTCCCACATCACCTACTTCAACTCTCCGAGTGCGGTTTATATACCTGTTGGACAATTTCACTTAATGTTAATTGATTTTAAAATGAAATCTAACAATTTCAACTTCCAATACTCAAGTCCTAAAACGATCTTCATATTTTCCTATAGTCGGCAACTTATCATATTTTATTCTGGTTGTTACTTACCAGCAGTAAATATTGTCATCAGAGCTTGATTGTCTTGTACTTCTGGTATTATGTGCAGAATTCATGGCATGAACTAGCAACTGCATTTTCCTCAGAAAAGACTTTACTCTTGTTGGACACTGCTCATCAGGTAAGATCTTTATCAACTTCCACCCTACTTTGTTTCTATGGGTTGTTGTCTAAGTGCCATCAGTTCTTACTTCAGCGATCTCTTGCACAAACACTAGTTCGTTCAGCTTCAGGCATAAGAAATTCAGAGGTGTCTAGTCAGTGAGTATTTACTTTAACTTTATTTTCTCTATAGTTTCAAAATTTATTACACTGTAAAATTTATGTTTATTTTTATTTAAAGGTATGTAAGAAATCTCATGGGTCCTATAACAACATATATAGTGGAGATATCCAGCAAGAATAATTTTAAAAGTATTTCCCAACAACCAGATATTCTCCTTTCGGTGAGGGCTTGAGTATTTACTTCATTCCAATGTTTGTATGAAAATAGTTCCTCAATATCATCGATGTTCTGTAGGTCAGCTGCATGTTAGAACGGTTACGTGGAGCTGCGAGTGCTTCTGAACCTCGGACACAGAAGGCTATCTATGAGCTAGGATTCTCTGTAATGAGTCCCATATTAGTTCTTCTTGAAGTGTATAAACATGAGGTAGCATTCACATTTATCAGTATCTTAACATATATAATATCCTCGATTTTCTTAACAGAAGTGTGATTTCTATAACTATCTTATGCTCATGGTAAACATCTTGCATTATCTAAATTTTATTCCTTATAATTTATTCATTTTATTTTTATTTCCAGTTTGACAAATATGTATAATAATTAAATTTGTAGAATCTGTGCTTATATGTATTTATTGCTTAGTCTGCAGTTATCTACCTGCTACTTAAATTTGTAGTTGATTGGGTTGATGGACAAATTACTTACCTGGAGGCCCAAGAGACTGCTGCTGTTGTTAATTTCTGCATGCGTTTGCTTCAGCTGTATTCGTCTCACAATATTGGCAAGGTTAATTTCTGTTATCAATTATGGTTTTATATGGCAAATACTTTGGGTCAGGAGGAACATCTTGACCAGCTAGAATTTCTATTTGGAACCTCAATGATTGGAAAGGCTCCTCTAAAATGTTTGGGTGCATTTAGTTATTATTACATTGAACTAAATAAAAAAAATTACTGTATGAATGTTTTTTAATCTTTATTTTAAATGGTTTTTCTTTCTTTGTTTTCTCTACGGGCTTTTATTATCTTGGGGGAAGGATCACTTCTAAGTTGTGCCCTCAAACTCCCTCTTCAATATGGATTTTTTTTCCTGAAAAAATTAAATTATACCATTGTCCATTGAAGCTTTAATCTGATTAAAAACATATACAAATTTTGAGGTTGGATAGTTTGAAAGGAAAGTCTTTAGAATCCTATTCCTGCAGTGTTAGGCGTCAATGAATACACCTTTATCAGTTTGTATGAAGCATAAGGGATGCAAAGATCCATATTTATTATTTTATTTACATTTTATCCCTTTTGGGCTGTCTTTCTCTGTGATCCCAATACCTACAAACTACAATATAATTGTTTTAATTATATTATGTAAAGTCCATATATTATTGCTTTCTGTCAACAATCCCATAGTTATTGCTAATTCACTTTTCTTTTTCATTATTTTAAAAGTTTTCTCCCTCAAGTTTCGTTTGCTTCTTTTTCAGATATCACTAAGTCTTTCCAGCAGCTTACTTAGTGAGGCTAAAACAGATAAGTATAGAGATTTGCGTGCTCTTCTTCAACTTCTCTCAAGTCTTTGCTCTAAAGACATGGTGAAGATTTTTTTTCATAAATTATTTATACTAGCAGTTGAAAGAGACTACCAATTTCTTATACACATACTTAACATAGGCACAACTTAACTAAAAAATACTTTATGTGGCAGATTGATTTCTCGTCAGATTCAATTGAAGCCCAAGGCACTAACATATCTCAGGTAATATCATGGTTACATTTACCTGTTTCATTTAAAGTTAATAGTCAATCTCTCATGCACGGGTCTTGCAGGTGGTTTACTTCGGTCTTCACATGATCACGCCATTGATTTCTATGGACCTCCTCAAATATCCCAAACTTTGTCATGATGTAAGATATTCTTGTATTCTGTAGAAATAATACTGGACTGATTGTTATCCAAATTCCAAAGCTGATACTGTATAACTCATTTGCAGTATTTTTCTCTCCTGTCACATATATTGGAGGTTTATCCTGAAACATTTGCACAACTAAATAGTGATGCCTTTGCCCATATACTCGGAACTCTTGATTTTGGTCTCCACCATCAGGTAATATTTGTGCATGTGTTTTTTCCGTAATAATCAATAATATATGGATGAAACAATGAGAACCTAAAATGATTAGTCATAGAGAAACTTCTATGCTTAAGGGAGTTTTGCAACATTTTAGCATTCTCTTCCAGTGTCCTAAATAAATATCTTCTTTTAAAAAGAGTAAATTTTTCCACTGTGCACTACAGTTCCCAAATCATTTTTTTTCTTTCAACTTTTTATATTCTGATTGTGCTTATGTTTTGTGGCTAAGAACCATACCCTTTACTGATTTTGCAGGATGCAGATGTGGTTAGTAAGTGTTTGAGAGCTCTGCAAGCTCTTGCTTCTTACCACTACAAAGAGACTGGTAGTGGTAATATAGGCTTGGGTGCCCACACTGTGAGTCTAAAGGATTCGAGTGGGAGTGTTCAGGAAGGTCTTTTGAGCCGTTTCCTCCGTTCATTGCTGAAGCTACTCCTTTTTGAGGACTACAGGTGAGAATGCAAAGGAAATGCCCCCCCCCCCACCCCTTTTCCTATTTAACCAAGCCTGACCATGGTATGCAAAGGAGATTGACTGCATTTGACACAGAGGAAAACTTTGTGATGAATGTGTTATCAAATACTGTGGCATCTTTAGAGCACACCCACATACTCTGTTTTAAAATATTTCATATGTATTTTATAGGTGGTTGGATGATTTAGACTTGCAAATACAATTCCACACAAGTACCTTGTTTCCTAATTCCTAGTATAATGTTACTAAAAGGACATTTCATGTCTTGGTTAATACTGTTGCAAAATCACATTGCAATTGACTAATAGTATTACCCTTGTTATTTCAGTTCGGATCTAATCAGTGTTGCTGCAGATGCGCTCCTTCCGCTAATCCTTTGTGAGCAAAGCCTGTATCAGGTATGACTCTCTAACTTGCATTTGGTAAAAAATTCAATGAAATTTCTGTTACGTACATGCTTCCTTAAACACTTTTTTAGCTAACATGTTTGAACTAATATACAAATTGAAATATAAATCAACTAATGTTGCTTATTCTCTTCAATGGTGAATATGCAAGTTACTTTTCATTTCAGGAATATGTTTTTGAGATTTGTGTTCAATGTGCATATAAATCCATTGCATATCCGTATGCATTACTTCAATGATCTGTTCAGTGAAAAACTTTATTTTAGTTAGTGTGTGTATTGTATTGTCTTTTGGTGAGTTACTTCTCCAAAAAGAAACTTCCATTATACATCAGTTTATATTCCAATGTATTTTTGGGGGGAAGGTATTCAAACTTAAGTTTTTAGAAAATTGTAAATAATAATCGGTCACTGTACACTACTGGACAATGTATTCTAGTATTCCTACTATTATTCGCCCCTCCCACCCTCTATTTTATGAATGTTTCCTGAGAAGGGTAAATTTCTTTGCAGAGACTGGGGAATGAATTGATAGAGAGACAGGCAAATCCAACACTCAGATCTAGGCTGGCAAATGCATTGCACGCTCTAACAAGTGCAAATCAGCTTTCTTCCTCCCTTGACAGAATAAATTACCAGAGATTTAGGAAAAATCTTAATAGCTTCCTTGTTGAAGTTCGTGGGTTTCTGAGGACCATGTGATCAACTGTTTATGGCTTGTATTGTATAAAGTTTCAAAAGAAGAGTTGAGACCAGCAGCTGGAGATGAAAGTAGAGAGCTAATGTATTGGCAGACGAAATATCTGGGGTTTCAGAAAACACCGAGTCCTATCTTCACTGGGCATGTGTCAGTCATATCACTTGGGTTGTTTTCAAAAGTAAAAGCTTTTCTATGTTTGTCAGAAGCTATTGAAAAGGCACAAAAGCTGTCTGAAGATCTTAACAACAATTCAGTGACAAAATGGTTGTCGAGTCCATTCTTTTTTGGCAAAATGTATCGTTGTGTAGATATATATGTTACTCTCACTTAGTTTGGTCATTGGCAGGGGGCACTCTTTTCATACCCTATCATGTTTGTGCTGTACCGCAAAAGCACACAATTCGTTCAAGCCCGTTAGTGATACTAAACGGTTCCCGACCTTGCAAACTTGCGGTTTTAGGGAAGTCGATTCTTGAGAGGATTAAAATGCCTGAATGATTTTATTCATATAAGTTTTGCAGTAATGGTTGTAATAACTATAAATATGGCTCCATCGTAGTTTTGGTGTGTCTGCATCGTATGTTAAGGTCTAGTTCATCAATGTGTACAGTTACATGTAGCTGTAACTGCAATCGCCGAGAAAGAATTATTTGCGCTGAATCTTGATTGATCTTATTTTGTTTTTAATTCCTCGACAAATTTAAGGATGACTGCTAGTGATCGCATGGGGAAGTCATTCATAATGGATAATCCTTTATATAATTGTTACAACACTGCAATATTGTTATTCATTCATAGTATGTTGTTGTAACTTTGCCAGGTTCATTGGAACATGCGTCAGAATTTTTGTGGCACCCAATATTAGTTAACACAAGTGCTCAAGTGTCCAATATGAACTTTCACTTTTTTCATGGGTATAACATAAATTTTCCCTAACATCACTCTTCTCTTTTGGTGGGCAATTCTTTTCGGTAAGAGCTTTTGATGTTTAAGGGTTAGTTAAGTAGCCATAATTGGATGAATCTATTTATAATCTGGGTCTGGGCAAAAATCTTCTAGGTGGCTGAAAGCACTTTAGTGGCAAGCCTCTTTAGCTGTTGAAAGGCGGGCATGATAGCCACCCTATGATAAGAAATATCAACTCAACACCTAGTAGACTTATCCCACCACTAGTTGAACGATTCATTTTACTGCGGTTCAACTCCCTTGTGTAAACAATCGCAGTTAAAACACATGGATATATTATATTCAAGTTAATTACATGTTCAGTTTGCGTCTTTTATTTGCCTCAACAAGAAAATATTTCAATTAGAAAACTAATAAGTTGTTCTAAGATCTGTCTTGAAATACGAGAAATCGATTTAGTGCTTATAAGTTTGATTTTTATGTATGTTAAAATAATGTTTAATTAGCACAAGTTACAATCCATTAATGCAGATTAATGGTTGAGGTGAATATGTTCATGGACTAAAAAAGGTTAGGGATGAATGTTTAAGGATTTTTTTTTTTTTGTATATCATATTTTTCATTGGAGACGAGAAAAGGAACAGGTGATTTCAATTCATATACATGAAGCAACGGCAGAATAAGGTTGAAAAATATTTTTTGGGGGTTGCGAGAAATTGGCTAATAAGGTTTGTAGATGTAGAAAAAGAAAATGATGGTAGCAACTTCTAGAAGGCTATATCTGACAGAGTACTGAAAGCGGTGCAAGCCCAGTTTGTAGTTAATATTGTACTTTGTAAAAGAAGAAAAAGATTGATAATGTGGGAGTGGGAATGACAAAGAAAAGAAGCGAGGGTGAATAAATTATGGACGGTAATCAAAACAAGAAATCCAGTCAAGTTGAATGTTATGAAACTAAACCATGTAAAGAAACGCTCTCACATCGATCTAATCGAAGCGGATTGTTGGGCTAGACAATTTTTTGGTTGGCTACTCCTCTAGGGCTTCGTTTTGGCCCTTGGTTTCCTAACACGGCAACAACTAGAGGTTATGAGAAGGCCGTACAATTAGGTTTTTTGGCTGCTGCAAACTTTTATTTATTTATTTTTTGTTCTGGAGGCCAATAGCAGTGACTAATCTCCTCGCTACGAGGGAGGCACCTCAAAGAATGGGATAGCTGGCCCTAAGATTTAACGCGACTACATATACAAGGTAAAATTCGAATCCTTAACCTTGCTTAAGCGTGGAGCAACCCCCACCGCTGAACCACACGCTTGGGGTTTGCAAACTTTCATTAATATACACTTTGTGGAATACACGAGATCAGTTCTTTTGTGTAAATTCTACGGACAGCATCTTCGGATAGAATATTCCAAAAAAGGTACAATTGCACAAATTTCATGCACCATCCGGGCTTCAGCGCAACCATTGAGAGTACTATTGGCTTATAAACAAGTAAAAAGAGAGTACTATTTGTAATTTCTTTCTTTTTTTTCTTGTCCAATTAAATTGTCTGAGAAATAAAAATTTTGAGATTATCAAATGAATTTTGATCCAGTTTAAAAGTTTTGGGATTATGAAATGAATTTTGAGATTTGTAAGTACTAAAATTCCAAAGTTTTGAAAAAGCACAAACAAAATTATACATGTCAGATTTGGGCTTCAGCTTCACTATATTTCAAGCGATTGTAGATTTCATTCTATTGGTTTAAATTCGTACTTATCAATAAAATCAAATTTGAAAAATGGTGCCATTAATATTTTTTTAGGTTTAATTCAATTTTTGGACTTCCTAATTTAGTGTATGGGCAATTTTGGGTATACTAAATTAAGAAATAGGCAATTTTAGACTCAAATTAATCATTATCTAAATTTTACCGAACTTGGTGACGTATCATATTCAGTTAACCAATTAATTTTAAGTTAGAGAATTTGTGTCACAAGCATTTCTCAAAACATTATTTATTTATATTTTATAATCACTCTTCCTTACATTCATTTTTATTTGAATACTCTTTTTTCTGAATAGGTGAATTTTATGTTATTAACATGAAATTGTCTCTTACAATTTACATATCAATTGAACAATCTATTATCAAATAAGTATTAACTTAATATCAAAATAAAGTATGTATTTTACTTTCAAATTTTAAATATTATACCTCTGCATTATTTTTATTTACTCCAATATTTTTGTAACCTCTTATCTATTTGAATATATCTTTAATCTTTTTTACAAAAAATACTTTTAATTGGTGTATTTCTTAGTTTGTAGAGTAAAAATACTAATACTATGTGTAATTATAAAAAAAAAATTATAAATTTAAGACAAATTTAATATTATTAACTAAACTAATTTTATTTTTTTTGACAACATTGAATTAGTTCTTTTTCATTTCAATAATGAGCAATACAATAAGGAATACGATGGAGAAACTGAACTTGTAAATTCTCTATTGCAGTCTTAGCAAGCACATGTACTGCATTATTAGCTTTCCTAGGAACTTATTTTATAAGGAAACCATCTTGTTGATCTAAGAGAGTTGCTTGATATGGAGAGCAATGACACCCTCCTCTCCTAGGCTGGTTTGAGAACCATAGACAAAGTGCAGCAGATACTTACAAAGTTACAATCCGATACAAATATGACCCTATGATATTGTTGATGCTGCATGCGTATGGCATGTAGCAATGTAAAAGCCTCACCCTCCAGTAGTCTAAAAAGAGTGGAAGACCATTCTGTTCTTGCAACTACAAAAAACCATTAGAGTCCCTTAGACAGCAACTGAAACCTGCAACATTCCGAGCTCCAAAGACTGCAACACCAGTACGTGTTGCATTTTAATTTACAGAACCCGCCAAACTGGCTCTAGGCTACGCTCAGTTTCAATCATGTGATAATTTGATCTCATTTGTTGAGCCATCCTTCAATCTTTGAACATAGTCTTAGCTATATATGTAACAGTAGTAGTTGCCAATTCATCATAATTATTCCAAAGCATTTCATTTCTACGCTTCCACAAACTCCAGAGATGCATAGCAAATTGATGACATTGTTCATCATTGAGAGTTTCGTATAGTTTAAACATCACCTCTGAAAAAGAGTCAAGATTCATCGAGAGAAACTCTATGTAATTCCACAACCCAACCATTTTCCATGCAGTAATTCTCTCCGGACAGGTGAAAAAATAGTGAAAGAAGTGGTAATAATTTACTAAATAACTTTTTTTAATTTTAGTAAATCAAATAATTAAGTCTTATAATTAATAATAATAATAAGAGGGAGAGATATTGATTATTTGTATAAGGTGGATTTTGATGTCTCTATATTTCTGTAACATAATGTTGCTTATTAAATGTATGGCCGCACACGTGTGTGTATTTATCTGAACGGATGACCGTAGTTTGCCAAATGCATGTATATATCTTATTGTAAAGCCAAAGGAACATGACACATGACAATACTATAAGCTCCAATAACAATTTCCTTAATGTTTACTAATTTTGACTATTTCATATGTTCAATTATTAAGTATTTAGTCACTTCTATATTTTACTAGAGAATAAAATATTTTATTATTGTTAATTTTTTTAATTAATAAGCATTTCAAAATTGTTTAAAGTATTTACCATACCTTTATAATTATTTTGATTAAGAGTTGAAAAACAATTTTTAAGTGTAGAACATTTCTATTAAGTGTTGGAAATGAAATAAAAATTAATATCCAAAGGAAATTCAGAACATAAAGTGATCAACAATGAAGAAAAAAGATAAAAATATTGACAATGTTGATAATTATTAAAAGTTATTTGGAGAAGTTTTTAGAGATTACAGGTTAAATTTTTTGTCTATAGACACGTTTTGCTATAATGTAACGAGGGTTGAAACATTATCATTCAAGTTTAGTTAAAAGGATTTCAAGTAAATGTTGGATCACTTTATTTCAACCATCATTTTAATTTCCATTTATCTTTCAGTATTTGCTTTTCTGTTCCTTTATCTTTTGAATCATCTTTTCCTCAATTTCATTTCTTTTGTGTTTGCTAATTTTTATGCATTTTCTTTTCTTCTACCCCTACTACCACTTTAAATTTCAATTTACAATTCAAAACCTTTTCAATTACTTTCAATTTACATTTTCATTTTCTTTTTGTATTTTCTTTGAAATTTACATTTGGTTTTTAATAGAATATTTTGACTAAATGTTGATCATAAAAAAAAATCTAGAGAAAATCAAGACCATAAAAGTCAATGATGTGGAATAAAAATAAAATATTATTATTGAATTCTCCTATAACATTATTAAATTGGTGCTTTACTGCATGGTTTTGGATATTAAACTAAATTTCATTGAAAATTACTTAAGAAATAAGCATATTTTATTTCTTATCTGAACAAGTTTGAGACCAGATGGAATTTCGCCATCCAATCTCTCTTCTTTTTTTTTGTGATCTTTTCTAATATACAACTGCCATGTATGCTCCTGGAAGTTATGAAGTTCTGGGGTACTTCTATGAACTCCTTTTTTTTAAGCTTAAAGAAGAAGATGAATGCATAAAACAACAAAACAATGTAACAATAATAATAAGATAAACTTATACGTACTTCGTTCAGCACGAATAAACTATGATAATATATATA